CGCTGCCCGCCTACCCAGCGGCGGAACCGCCCGGACCGCTGTGGCTGCAGGGCGAGCCTCTGCATTTCTGCTGCCTGGACTTCAGCCTGGAGGAGCTGCAGGGCGAGTCGGGCTGGCGGCTGAACCGCAAGCCCATCGAATCCACGCTGGTGGCCTGCTTCATGACCCTGGTCATTGTTGTGTGGAGCGTGGCCGCCCTCATCTGGCCAGTGCCCATCATCGCCGGCTTTCTGCCCAACGGCATGGAGCAGCGCCGGACCACCGCCAGCGCTACCGCGGCCGCCCCCGCTGCAGTGCCGGCGGGGACCACCGCGGCTGCCGCCGCCGCCGCAGCTGCAGCCGCTGCCGCTGCGGCTGTCACCTCGGGGGTGACCACCAAGTGACTCGCTCCGCTCCTCCCTGCGTCCTCCCTGTGTCCGCGCTCGTGGGTGCCTTTCTCGCCGGGAGACTCGGCAGGTGTGCTTCGTGCTGTAGTTATCGTTAGTTCTTTTTCCGGGGAGGGGGCCGCAGGAGAGCCCCAGCGATTTTGAAAAGCCAGGTTTGTGCTGCGCTTCCTGTTCCGAAAAGCAGGTGCAAGCCTTTGGATTGAGGGGTGGGATCCACAGCTCCGAAGACAGAGCAGGGAAAAGGGGCCCTTTCCCCTCTATTGCATCCCCCTGCCCGCCTTCCTCCCCGCACCCACGTGCCCTTTATTCATGGCAGAAAAATGACCAAATCCTGTGTATTTGTTTTATATATTTAATAACTGTTTTAAATGAAAGTTTTAGTAAAAAAAAAATACAAAACAAAAAGATTAAATTGCTATTGCTGTAGTAAGAGAAGCTCTTTGTATCTGAACATAGTTGTATCTGAAGTTTGTTGTTTTTTAATTTATTTTAAAGGGGGGAGGGCATGGGAAGGATTTGACACCGATATATTGTTATCGCTAAAAATGAACTTTAAGAACCTTTTCCAAGTCGATTTATCCAGTGACGTGGCCTGGTGGGCGTTTCTTCTTGTACTCCTGTGGATTTTTGGCTTTTAATACAGACATTTTCCTCCAGAGATGCATATGTAGCTTTGTCTTTATTGGAATTAGGGAAAGGAATCCAAGAATTGTAAGACATTAACCTAGAACCTGGAGAGGGAATTCCTAAAAAGTTACAGAAGGGCCAGATGAGGGAAAGAGCTTACTTGCCCTAAGGGTAGTTGCAATGTCTTCCAACACACTGGCCCCCAATACCCAGCCTTCCCTGCTATCACAGTGGCTAACAGGGTTTCGCATGATTTATCTTTTTACTCTCTGCCCCAAGCTTTGCAGAACACCCAGAAAAGTGTCAAAATGGTAAAAAATCAATAGACCCTCTGAGCCAGATGTCCTTCATGGAAATGACTCATTTAAAAAGATATATAAGTTTCAAATTGCTATGCATAAATTTTATCAGATGAGCACATCTCAAGTGCTGGCTGTAAAATGAGATGTTATTTGGGCATTAATAAGATTTTTAAGGTAGATTCTTGGGTAATAAATAAGTTAATGATCACAAGATTTTCTTCACTTCTGGCTTCCATGATGTAGTGTCTGTTATGTAGTAGTTTCAGATTTGGGGGGTTTTCAGCAGAGTAAATGAAAAATCGTTAATACAATTTAATATAAAAATAATTTTTGAAGTCTTTTAAAAAATAAGCTGCATTTCCTTTCTCCATCTTCTCCCCACTTTTGAGTTAATAGCTGAGATTGTTCTAGAGTTATAGTTCTCCAACTATAGTCCCTGGACCAGCAACATCAGCATCAGCTGGGAACCTGTTAAAGATGCAGAACCAGAAACTCTGGGATACAGCCCAGCAATCTGTAGTTTAACAAGCCCTGCAACAGATTCTGATGCATTTCGAGGTTGAGAAATGCTGTGTGCTAGCAGAAAGGGAAATTCAGCTGTATGTAGTCTCCTTCTATCTTGAGATGTCTCTATTATATCAGAGAAGTGGGATGCTTCCTCCCCCCAGGAATCTGTCTGAAGGAGAGGCTGAGTTATTGCCTACAGCTTCAGTTTCCTCCCACCTCAGCAAACACATACACACCTCCTTGGTGTCCAGGAACGACTCTGGCAGGTGCCAGGTACTGAGATGGGTCTTCCTCTTTCTCCTATTCTGGACATTGAAGATTTTCTGTATTTGTTGTATTATAAATCCTTATTGACACTTCAAATTTTCAAATGCCACAGAGCAAGGTAAATTATGATCTTCACTGTTCTGGAACCCTGTGGTAATTAGCAGGAGAAAACCAATAAATTTGCTAACCTGTATCAATTTTAATACAATCACAGTATTTGTAATCCTGGAAGAACATCAAGTATTCCCACTACACATCACTTGGCACCTCTCCCTCCCGCCCCCGTCCCTTCCTTTCTTCCCCCCAATACGGAAACTAGGGTTCAGAGAGGCTTAGCATCTTGCTTACAATCAGACAGCTACATAAAACTCAGGAATTATTCTTCCCTCGATAGTATTTTTCATCAGCTCTTCTGTTAAGAGGCGTGTGTGTGTGTGTGTGTGTGTGTGTGTGTGTGTGTGTGTCCCTAACAAATACTTTCCTTAACATTTTTTCAGTTGTAGGAGACAATACCTTTATTTTATTTATTTATGATGCTGAGGATCAAACCCAGTGCCCTATACATGCAAGGCAAGCATGCTACCACTGAGCCACATCCCCAGCCCAATAAATACCTTTATAAGATGGGTTAGAAATATTAACATTTATTGCTATAGCAATATACCTTCCTGAGGTAGATCCTTGTAATTGCTGGTGGAGCCTACAGTGTGTGTGAGAGAGCATGTGTGTGTGTATATGTGTTTGTGATGGACCAGTTAGTTCTAGAAAGTGAGGAGGGAGCCTGCAGTTCTCTTTCAGTAGGCTTACCCACTGGTAAAGGAGGTCAGGCCCTGGCAAGCTCAGCTTGGGGTCCGTGCCTTATGGTCAGGTTGAAGTGCACCATCTCAATAGTGAAACACTTCCGACTACATATTTAACTAAGGATTAACCATTAGTTCCTCTTGGACAGGAAAGGAAGTTGCCCCTGTCAAGTGTATACATGCATACATGGAATCCTCATATTCCAGCCCACTCACAGTCTTCTTGGCATGGCCTGAGTTGCCAACAATACAGCTGAGTCCTCAGGATAAATCATCATGCTCCATTATTTTCCATTCTGAGAGGATGTTGGGGAAGGTTCGTATTCACCCCCCAAATATGCCACCATTACTACTGACTTTTCTACATTCACTGGGAGAGATGCCCTGACCCCAAATCTGAACATCCCAGTCTTCTTTGGGGCTCACCTTAACTGAACATAGCCACCATGCCCAAAACAACACCTCCACCTAGAGCACCCCATTCAGTGACTCCTTAACAGAGGGAGCAGGAAGACCAGCCCTCTCACCTCAACTTCTGACAGCTCTAAAGATCCTACAGGCATCAGGACAGACTCCCCACAGGGCTAGCTGAGACTTCCATGGAGACTGCCTGGAGGTCAGACTACTCCCACTGCCCACTTCTACCTTTTCCTATCCCTTCCCTTCCAGAGCCATTAACCCAAGGGAGTTGGATCTGTCTTCAGTTTGCTTCTTCAAGAACCCAGCCTTGACAGATAAAAATCCTAGTGGCATGCAGAATTGTTCTAGCCAAATGATCATTAGGCATCTATAAGGAGCATACCACATGAATGATCATCATTTGCATCCCTTTTATATAGATCACACATTTCTATTCTTTCTTTTCTATGTGGATAGTCTTCTAATAACCACAATCAGCGGTGATGGGAGAAATGTCCCCTAATACCATTTCTTACTTCATCATCACCCTCATACATATCCATGTCAAAAGAAGAAGGCTTTGCTTTTTTTCCTGTCATATCTCCTTATTAGTAAGGATGTGCTGGATCATGCTGAAGTAACAAGCAAACACAACTTCTCAGCAGTTTAACAAAAGAAAGGCTTATTCCTTTTTCATGCTATGTGTTCAAGATTTAGGAGGGCCATTCCTAAAAGAATTCAATCTGGAAGAATTCCACAAAAGAACCCTCTGGATCCCTTGGATCTGGGAATTCAGAAGGATGGGTGAAGAATCAGAGTTTAAATGAGGGGAAAAGACATGGAAAGAAAGTTATGTAAATGGAAAATAAAAAGGGAGTCAGAATAGGCAACCCAGATGCCTAGACCCAGCTCCAAGTTCTTTAACACAGGGGCATTTTTCACATGTGGGGACAGCTAAGGTTATGGAGCAGAACTGGAACACAGGCCTCTGCCTGCACTCAGTATCTGTGGGCCCTTCTGCTCTATGTAGTCTTCTCGTGTAGATCTCCCTGCCAAGCCTGCATCTTCTCATGCACTTGTTCTTGGTCTTCTTGGGTTCTTCCCCTAAGGACAGTGTTCCTACTAGCCTCCAGCTCGGGAAGTTTTTTTTAAGATTTTTTTTAAAGTTGTAGATAGGCACAATATTTTATTTATTTATAAATAAATGAGGATCAAACCCAGTGCCTCATGCTTGTGAGACAAGCGCTGTACCACTGAGCCACAATCCCAGCCCTTAGGAAGTTTTAAGGCACTCCCTCCTCTGGGCCTCCCACCAGCTCTGAGTAACTTCTTAAAGGTGACAAGATATTTCCTGATGTCCCACCCAGCAGACTTGTGTCCTGTCAGCCTCTGCTGTCTGCCTTTTCCAAAGCTGGGTCCCTGCAGCAGACAGGACCCTATTCTTCTGCAGCCCTCTCTGGCCTATCAGTCCTAACAACAGGCTGGCACCTTCTCTTACTATATACCTCTAGCCATCAGGATCACAGGACTCAGCCCAATGGTACATCTATCTCAAAGTACCTCACAGTGTACTTCCCTCTCACAATCTCACCATCTCCAAGCCTGTGCTGACACTTGGGCTAGATCTGCCTGCCACACCCCAGGATAGGACAGGTCCAGAGGTATTTTGAGGTGAGTGGGGACTCCCCATGGGCTCCGAGGTCCAGGGCAGGGCTGCTTCCTTGGACAAGTATAGGCCTCTCCCTTTGTCTGAGTCTCGGTGTTTTCCTGGAATTCTTCCTGCCTGCCTGTTCCCAGAACTGAACTCCCAAAGTCCCTGAATGAGTCTCTGTGCCGCTGAAGACTTGCTCTTCTATTTGTCTTTATAGAATTAGTGATAAAAATCCAAATAATTGGCATCTTGATAACACCCCGAGGCCACATTTTGACTGTACCCACAGATTGCTTCTCAGCAAGCTTTTCTGCACTCTAAGAAATAACCCTACCACAGCTCAGCTTGCACCAGGATGAGAGTCCCAGATGGGCTCCTGGGATGACTTTTTGATCGGTGGGCATGGGAGAGAAGATTGCTTACCATGTAGCTCTCCAACCCTCCCCAAACACCCCCAATTTGAACTCTGCATTGCAGGTTCAAGAAACCTGTTCAGAACCTACGAAACCTCCATCCTGCTCTACATGGCTGCGCTCCAGGCTCCCCTGAGTGGCTGCTGATACCCGGTGATTTGGGGCCATGTGCTTGTTCTGTCCCAGAGGCTATGTCTGTAAATTCCAGCATACCTCTAGGGCTTTCATAGGAGTCACTCTGGACTTATGACTCTCACTGCGTCATGATCCAGAAGTGTGGCTTTATAATTACAGTACCTTGGAATTTTATTTCAGAATATTTTATGATCATAAGGAATTTTCTGGCTCCAGTTAATTCCACATATTATATGGTCTTCTGGCAAGACGGATGCTGAACTTTTTTATCATAGACTTTAACCGATACCCTACCTCACTTCCTATGTGTCATAACTCTGCAGCTGCTAAAGGACTACACTGGAAAATTATAATTATTATTAATATGAAACAATCATAAATATAAAGTCACAAATATGACTATTGATCATTGTCATTTTGGACTGGAAAGGAAAAGAGAAAGTGGGAGAAATAGAGGGAAAACAAGATCTAAAAAGAAAGAAGAAGCAAGAAAAAGAGAACTGGAAGCACTGTTTAGGAACAGAAAGATAATTCCCTACCTCATGCCACCAGCACAT